TGGAAAAGATACTCCAAGCAAATTATATCTGGAGAAAATTGGGGTACCTATACTTATATCAGACAAAATAAACTTTGAGTCAAAAAAGATGACAAGAGGCAAAGATGGACATTTTATAATGATAAAAGAGACAATCCATCCAGAAGGCATAATATTTATCAATATATATGCACCCACCATGAGCACCAAATTATATAAAACAATTATTAATGGTCCTAAAAGGTGAAATAGACAGCAACACAATCATAGTAGGGTAATGTTATACCACACTTACAACAATGGGTAGATCATCCAGATAGAGTCAACAAAGAAACATTGGCTTTAATTGATCTACTAAGTAGATTAATAAATATTTATATAACCTTCTATACCAGAGAGGCAGAATACACATTATTCTCAAGTACCCATGAAACATTCTCAAGGATATGTTGGAACACAAAACTAGTCTTGAAAAATTTAAGATTGAATTCATATCAAGCAATTTTTCAGACAACATCAATATGAAACTAAAAATCAACTACAAAGAGAAAGCTGGAAAAATCACAAATATGTGAAAATTAAACATGTTCCTGAATAACTGTTGGGTCAATGAAGAAATAAAACAAGAAATTAATAGATATACAGAGGCAAATGAAAATTAAAACATTACATACCAAAATTTTGAGGGTACAGCGCAAGTGGTAGTAAGAGGGAAAATTTTAGGAACACAGTCCTACCACAAGAAACAAAAAATTGTAAATAAACAATCTGACACTATACCTTAAGAAACTTAGAAAAGGAGAAGAAGGAGCCCAAAATCAAGAGAAGACTGAAAATAATAGATATCAGAATGGAAAGAAATAAAATAGAGACTAAAAATGCAATATAAAAGATTAATGAAACAAAGAGCTGATTCTCTGAATAAACAAAATTAACAAACCCTAGCTAGACTTACTAGTAAAAATAGAAGACTGAAGTCAATATAAACAGAAATGAAAGAGAAGTTGTAATGAATACTACAGAAATACAAAGGATCATATGAGAATATTATATAGAATAAGGATACTATGAGAGGCTATAAACCACCAAATCAACAATCTAGAAGAAATGGGCATATTATTACAATCATGAAATCTTCATAGGCTGAATTATGAATAACAGAGTTGAATAAACTAATCAGTAGCACAGAAATTGAAAGAGTAACCATGAATTCTACCAAATATTTGAAGATAATTTAATACCTGTCCTTCTCAAATCCTTCAAAAAAATGAGAAGAGAGACTACTTCCTAACTCAATTTATGAAGCCAATATTACTCTGCTATCAAAACCAGGCAAGGATAGCACATACAAAAAAGAAAATTACATGGCAAATATCTCTATGAACATAGGTGCAAAAATCTTTAAAAATAGTAATAGCAAATTGAATGCAACAATACATTAAAAAGATCATACACCATGACCAAGTGGGACTCGTTTAAGGGATGCAAGACTGGTTCAACATCTGCAAATCAATCAACATGATACACACTATGTTAAGTAAATGAAGTATACAAATCATATGACCATATCAATAGATGCAGAAAAAGTATTTGAAAAGGTACATCGGTTTATGATAAAAAAGTCAATAAAATAGTTATAAAAGGAAAGAACCTCAACATAAGGGTCATATATGACAAACCCACAGTTAATGTCATACACAATGATGAGAAACTGAAAGCTTTTTCTCTAAGATTAGAATAAGGAACAGAGATGCCCACTCTCTCTACTGTTAATCAACATAATGCTGGAAGCGTTAGCCAGAAAAAGTAGGCAAGAAAAATAACTAAAAATCATTTAAATTGGAAATGAAGAAGTAAAGCTGTCACTATTTGTGTATGACATGATTTTTTATATATAGAAAACTCTAAAGATTCTACAAAAATACTATCAGAAACAATAAACAAATACATTAGATTTTAAGGATACAAATTCAATATATAAAACTCTGTTGCGTGTCTATATTCTAACAATGAACTACCAGAGAGAGAGAAATAAAGAAAACAATTCCACTTATGGTTTCAACAAAAAGATTAAAATACCTAGGAATAAACTACAAGACATTGAAAGGAACTTAAGAAGACATAAATAAAGTCAAAATAGTCTATGTCTATAGATTGGAAAAATTAACTTAAAATAGCCATATTACCTAAAGAAATTTACAGATTCATTTTAATCCCTATCAAAATCTCAATATTTTTGTCCGCAGAAATTGAACAAAAAGATCCTAAAATTTGTGTAGAACCACAAAAAAATATCCCCAGCAGACAAAGCAATTCTGAGAAAAAAAGAGAAGAAAACTGAAGGTATTACACTTCCCATTTAAATATATACTGCAAAACTTCTGTTATCAAAACAATATGATATTGTCAAGAAAATAAAGAAGACACACAGACCAATGGAATGGAATTGAGGCCTCTGAAATAAACCTACACACATATGGATAACTAATTTGAGATAAAGGAGCTAAGAATCCACAATAGAGAAAGCAAAGTCTCTTTAATAAATGATGTTAGGAAAACTGGACAGCCATATGCAAAAGAATGAAATTAAACCACTAACTCACATTGTACACAAATATTAACTCAAAATGGATTAAAGATTTGAATGTAGGACCTGAAACAATAACATATACATAGAAGAAAACACATAGACACTAAGCTTCTGGAAATAAGTCTCAGTAAGCCTTTTAGTGAATTTGACTCCAAAAGCAAGAAAAACAAAAACAAATGGACATACATCAAAGTGAAAAGCTTCTGCACAGCAAAAAGACAAAAACAAAAACAAAAACAAAACAAAACAAAGAACCACACACAAAACCAAGAGGCAACTAACTGAATGGGAATAGATATTTACAAATGATATTTCAGATAAGGGCTTAATATCCAAAATATATAAAGAGCTCATACAACTCAACAACACAACAAAAAGCTAAATCTGATTTAAAAATGTGCAGAGTATCTGAATAGACACTTTTTTTTTCTGAGGAAGAAAGGCAGATGACCAATGGACATATGAAAGATGTTTTACTTCACTATTAGAAAAATGCAAATCATCATGAGATATCACCTTACACCTGCTAGAACGGCTGATACCAAACTGGCAAAATGAGACAAGTGCTAGAGAGGATGTGGAGGAACTCTAGAATACACTGGTGAGATTGTAAATTGGTGCAACCAGTATGAAAAACAGTATGGAGAGTCCTCCAAAAATTAAGAACCGGGTTACCAAATGAATCAGCAATCCCTCTGCTGGGTATTATCTAAGGAATATGAAAACACTAATTCAAGAAGATATATGCGCTCCTATTCTTTGCAGCATTATTTACAATAGACAAACTCTTCAAACAAGTGTTTAAGGACACTTACTTGACCCCAGGGACCAGTTCAAAAGGAGAGGAATATGAACAGCAGCTACTGAGGGGCAGCAATAAAAAAAAAAAATTCTATGCCATCATGGCCAGTCTCAGAGTTCAAAGGATGTCTTAGTGTTGAGTACTACTTTGTGTCACACTGGGAACAGTAGCCCCACGTGAGCCAGGCCCTGAGAAGGGTCTGTAAGCCCCGACTGGAAAGCCAGGAATGCTGGGTGGCAGACAGGACCCGATATTAGCACTAAAGGTTCTAGGGAGAGATCTGGACTAAAGAGTGCATTATATTTACTGAAGCTTGTTCTACTTTATACTGTCCTGATAAGGAAAAACCAAGTGTTTAGCCTCAAAGCAGGGGAAATGATTCCCAAGCCTCTGAACCCTGGCTTAATAATCATCTGGCATCAGTATGTCTAACAGACCCCAACCCAAGGCTGATCTATGTGTTCCTCTTATTGTTATCTATAACCCTCTGATGTGGATTGATAAACTTTGCACGTATGCTGTATACCCCTGCACATATTCTCAGTAAAAGCCACTTCAGAGAAGGGCTTGGGGCATTTTCCACTAGAAGGAATCAGCATCCCCTTTTCCTGACAGACAAATCGTTTCTGGTACAATTTATTTCTTCATCTACGGCAGTTGGGAGGACTCCGCTGGCCTCCCTCACCTTAGTGTATGCAAGGCTTAGCCTCAAAGGTATCAGGCAACCTCTCCCTGGATCTTAGTCATTTGTTGCATTTTGTTTGCAGAGAACAGACTTATCTTAAAGTAAATATAAACAGCTTCCCAGGATATAGTAAAATTATAAAAGTAGGTTTACAATTGTCAGTACATGAAACACAGAGTTTATTTTTGTATTAAATATTTTATTTATTTAATTTTTAGAGAGAGGATAAGGGAGGGAGAAAGAGAGAGGGAGAAACACCAGTGTGCGAGAGAAACAATCAGTTGCCTCTCCCATGGCACTAACTGGGAAACTGGCCCATAACCTAGACGTGTGCCCTGACCAGAAATCAAACTGGTGACCTATCGACTTGCGGGACAACACCAGTCAGAGCTGTTTTTGTATTATTACTTACTAATTATTATACCATTTTCCATGCCAACAACTGTAAACCTACATTTTCCTACCCTGTGTATCAAACATGGAAAGTGAACATTAAGTAGATGTATCGTTAAGATTGTGAGAGCATAAAACTTACTGCAATGTTTAATGTGTTTTTAAAATAATGTGTAGCTGATTAAAATAAGAATATTAAACTTATATTAGAGTACTGCCTTGATAAATGTTTAATATACCAAGTCTTCTAATATCTTATACTGGTAAATAACAATTAATTAATAAATTTACATTTGTAGAATTTAGAGACTAGAAAAATTGGAATAATTTTACAATCAGAGTTCATGGGTTTTTTCTGTAGGAAATTATTTCTTTGATTATACAGAATTATTACTTAAATTATGAATACTAGTAATTTTTAATTATAATGTATTGACATTTAACTTTAAGATTATCAATTTTACTGGTCTTTAAAAATCTTATTAAAATTAGTAAAATAATTTTTCTATAATTTTTAAACTTATTTCTCTTAAATAATTTTTTACCTTTAAGACATTACTGACATTTTCACTTGTTGAAAAAATAATCATTCCATTTATTATCTTTATTGTCTAAGCAAATGCTCACAGTTGTCCCTTGTATATAAAAGGCACATAATATATATTTGTTGATTTAAGGCAAAAAAAAGCATAACGGTTTTGTAGAGCTTGTTATGGACGGAATTATGTACCCCTCTCAAATTTATATGTTGTAGCCCTAACTCCCAATGTGACTATGTTAGGAGAATAGGCCTTTAACAATATATTTAATATTAAATTAGGTCATGAGAGTAGACTCTAATCTTACAAGACTTGTGTCCTTGTAAGAAGAGGAAGAGTCATAAAGCATCTTTTTCTTACCATGGGCATACAGAGAAAAGGTCACAAGAGGACAAAGGGTGAAGGTAAAGATGGCTGTCTACAAGTCAGGGAGGGAAGCCTCACCAGCCCTGCTGATATCTTGATCTTGCACTTGTAGCCTCCTGAATTATAAAAAAAATAAATTACTGTTGCTTATGCCACTGAGTCTTCAGTATCTTGCTATGGAACCTGAGCAGACTGATGCTGAGTTTTCTGGAAACTGTGAACATTACAAAGCAGAATGTCCCATCGTTATTATTTTCAATTTTGGCCTAATCCTAATAACATTGGGTAAGTAGAGAGGCTTATTTTTATTTAACTAGGAAATCATATTTTCATAGCAAACTAATTTTTGAGGCTACTGCCCTGACTCTATGATCTGTTGCAATTTGTGAACTGTATTAGTCTAAGCTCCTTATAACCATGAAATTCCCAAGAAGTTCATCTTTTGTTCTCTCCAGCAATTACCATATCACTGAAGGTTATAAAATTAAAATAGTCATGTCACGAATAGGACTTTTAGAGCTATTAATGTCCCTATGTCAGAAAGTAGGCAAAGAAGAAGACGATAACAGTAAACTGGGACTGGAAAAAAAGGAAGAATGGGACACGCTCACCAGTTAATGCTCTTGTGGAATTCTAGGCTTTTTCTTTAGGCTAAAGAAAACTAGGCTAAGGGGAACAGTAATTTGAAAACAGGAAGAAGGCACAGGAATAAACAGGATTTTCCACTAAGACCTTTGCCAAAGTTGGAAAGATCTATTCCCTTTTTTTCTTCTTTCCTGTTTTACCAAGTTTTTGACAAGAAAATAAACAGCATTTTGTGACCAAAAATATAGCAGCAGCCACACAGGCCAGCAGGAACCCAATCACATCCAAAGAGTGGTACTGGAACCAAGTGAGGTTGTGAGCAGCCGGCCGCAGGTGTTTGGCTCCTTTGTGGCGCATGACAAACTCGATCCAGAAGACTGCTCGATCCAGAGGCTTTACAGGTTGATCATGGTGAATCCTTGATAACCTCATAGCATTCTCTTTATAACTAGAAGGCAAATAAGAAAGAAGGTAAAAAAAAAAAAAAAAGGAAAGACATTAATGAAATTTTGATTGTTAGTTACATGACAAATGTTATTAAAATTGATCTAAGGGCCACAGAATTGTTGTTACATGAACTCTGCTGTTAGCATAGAATTTTAACATGTATAGTGGGGAGCTCATAAAAGAAATACAGTCTTAACAGAATGTAGTTAAATGCAGATATAGAAAAAATCAGAATAAAAGAGTTGTTAATTGAAGCCTAATTTTTCCAAGCAGGAAATGTGGCATTGTATGAACTATACTTTCCAGGAGATTTCTAAGACCCAGATAGTGAATGGCACAAGATTATGGGAAAAGATCCATTAAAAAATCTGTAAGCATAATCTCTAACATTTTGTTGTATGGTGCATAACGCAATTCGTGGTAATCCTTTCAAAAGCAGTAGTACTTACGAAGGATCATTAATGACTGTTCTCAAGGCGTTGAGAAAATCTGCACTTGTCATTGTGTTTATGTTCACCTCCACAGCTGCTCCTTTGGCCTTCATGTGAGCAATGTTATCATACTGATCAGCAAACATGGGAACTCCCACCATAGGGACCCCATGATAAATAGCTTCATAGATCCCATTTGTTCCACCGTGAGTGATAAAAGCTCTGGTTTTCGGATGACCTTGTTTGGGGATAGAATGAGAAGTGGGTGAAAATGTCATAACACGTAAACAGAAATTCAGAGACAAAAGAGGAAAATCTATGGGATAAACTACTGAAGAAGACAGGACTTTCTGTAGGGCACAGCTACCACAGAAAATTGCTATCCCAGGAAAACGAGGCACTAGTTCCCTCTGTGTTGCCTGAAATTCTGATCTGAATTATAGTAAGTTTGAATCTAAAAATTAACCATCAAATCTTTAATTACATCTTTTAAAATTGGAGGTAAAATGAGAAACATTTACAGTTGTTAACTATTTGTTGATAGTAGTTTTTACATCAATGTTAGCTGTTAAAGAATGAATCAACTTGTCCATCAACCAATATACAGCTTTCCCTCCCCCATAGTCTTACCAAGAAGGTCATTCTGGGGTATCCAGTCATAGAGTTGAGTGTTGGCTCCTAATGTGGCTGGTTTCTTTCCTTTGTGTCTCCATAAAACCTGTGGAAGACAGTGCGTATATTTCACTGGATAATGACATTTTAAGGTTGTAGAGTTATGTATAAATCATGCATTTACTCTACTTAAGGTGACAGTTGAGAAGGAAGCATGGAGGTGTACTTTGTAAACACTGAAAGCAATAGTGGGATTGTTTACAACCACCTTTTTAAAAGCATTTGTGGTAGTTGTCTATTAAGTATACTATTATCGTTTTGTCTATTAGCACTTAAGAACTTTTGGGAGTGAAAATATAAGTGAAGAATTAGAAAATAATGTGTATTAGCCTAAGGAATCAGAATTGGGAAGTTAAAATTTTTATAGTCATTATGACTTCTGTATAAATTTATGTCACTGGCATTCCTAGCTCTATCTTCAAATTACTGTTTCTTACAAATATCATTGCCTTAGATTTTCTCTGCTTATTTTTAGGGTAACTGATTATCTTTTTATCTTGCATTTCTTTTTATCTTCTTTTTCTCCCATAAATTCTTTTTATTTAAGTAAGAATAAGATAGTGTTTTTGCTTATATTCCAAAATTCAATGAAGCATTCTGTTTGGTTTTACAACGATCATGTTTATCTTTATATATAATTTTTCTATACTTTTATAGAATTTAACCAAATATACAATTCAAAAGCTCTTAGATTTTTTATAAATAGCAATATATAAAGAGCAGACTCTAGAATGGTGGTAACATTAAAATTAATTGAACATCATAAATTAAGACATACAAATTGCTAGACTATAATATTAAAATTTCTATGGACTTTTAATTCTAGAAAACTCTAATTAAAAAAAACTAAATGAATCTAAGCTTCTACTTCTATGCTCAGCTATGATGAATCAAGTCCTAATACAAACAAAGTTATGGAGGATATTCTTGTGCATGATTTATCTCTACTTTTGTCATTTCAATTTTCCTTTTTCCTGGTCAGGAGTGAATGCACTTCCAAACTATTTTAGGAGTAGTCAGAACAGGCCTTAAGAGTTCATCAAAAGGACACTTAATGTTTTCATCTCTATTTCATTAAAACAAATTATTCTAAAAAGATTTGTTTCCATAATAACAGCAAAATTCATCAGGTAAGGCTCAAATATGCCTAAACTCACTATTTAATGATTTACAAATTTTTATTTAATATGGTACCTGATATGTTAACTGTAAAATGAAATTCAGTTTTTATTTCAAAGGACACCATTAGTTAGTAAGTACCTGCCCAGAAGGGTTAAAGGTATACTAACCTTCTGTGGAATCTGGGCAAGGGCTGAGGCAATAAGATTGGCCTTTTCTTCTGTGATATATTGGATGATTGTTCCTAGAGAAAACACCACAATACCATCTTCACCTGAGCTCTGGACAAATTCTTCTATTTCCTGTAGAGAAAAAAATTTTTTGTATTGCAGACGTACAGCATCAAAGAGAATAAAATAAAATTCACTTACACTTCTAAAATAAAGATTCAAGAGAATTGTCAGAGGCATAGTTAGACTGTTTTTTATCTTTTGACACCTAGAACCATCTAGTCCCTTTTAGAGGAAGTATATAATGCAATATACAGATGAAGTATCATAGAATTGTATACTTGAAGTCTACATAATTTTATATAGATTTCTGTAATAAATTGAGTTTAGATAAATAAATAAATAAAACCCATGGCTTAAATACATAATCATCTATTAGTGAATAGCCATGGAGTCAAATAATTATACAAAAGGATTAGGTGATAAGAATACAGCACTTTTTATGGTTGATGGACACTTACTCACCAGGTTTAAAAACTGAATAGTTTGCAAACTCATAAAAAATTACTTAAAAGAAAGCTTCAAAATATGTCTGAATTAGGCATCTGACAGTTTACATCTAATAAACCATAACTGTGTTGATGTGCCTATTTTTTTATATATGACTTCAAAGGTAATTTTCTCATGTATAGGTCTCCCTTTATTTATAGTGCTAAGCAGATATTTGTTAGAATTGTGGTATACAGTAGTAATGTGTTAGAAAAGGAGATAACATATTTAAACTACTCTCTAATAATAAATTTCTTTTAGGAGACAGTGGCTATGTCTTCCTGATGTATAAAATCCCCATCTCAGGGGACACTAGCTGCATGTTGTTAATTTGAGCCTTAGCACAGAACTGATACATAGTTACCTTCTATAAATTAACACAACTGCCTCACCATTTAGAGTTGTGTAAGGTGACCATGGGAAACTCTAGGTTTGGGGCCAGTCAGATCATGTTCTGTGAGAATGACATCTTCTAGACATGCAGCATGCATTCCTTGTGAAATCTTTTGTGGCAGCTTTGGAGTCACATGTTCCCCAGTTAAAGGCTGTAAATGACCAGAAAAGAGCTGATGTCAAAATTGACAACATCAGCTTCAATAATGTTGGGAGGACATATCTAACACAGCAGAAATTATTTGTTATTATTTTGGTTCACCTTCCCAAACACATGAAGTCTGAATAAAATGTTTATGTGTGTGTGAGCATAAATGCTCATGTGTGAATATTTTTGATTGGAGGACCTCTCATCATTTTTTTTTTGATGTTATAACAGTTTATTTGGAAGGTCATTTTAAAAACAATGTTACAACATTAAAGACAATCTGAGAAAAAACTGCACAGAATACACTCATTAAATAAGCATGGTGATTACATCAAAATAAGTGAAATATGTTTTCTTTTTCAACTCTAGTAATAAGTTGTTATCCTGAAGGCTTTTGTATTTCCAAAAAGGGGGAAAAATTATGCCAACTGAAACTGCCTCTTAATCATGTAAATCTATAGTAGAAACCAATTTTTTCCTAATAAGTCGATTTTAGTCTTCAAACTTTGCCTTGTTTTTTAAAAAAATGTGATGCTAGAAATTCAATGGTATTTTGTGGGTTTTCCTTTGCCAGCACGGCAAGTTCCTGAAATAAGATAGATACATCTGTCTGATCCAGGTAGGCACGAGGTGGCAAAGGTTGGAGATCTGCTTTCTCTTTTGATGGCTTTTCCCCATCAGTATTTTCATTTTCTACTATCTCTCAGCATTATCTGTGAAACCATACTTAAGAGTGAGGATTTTCTGCAATCTGCACATGTCCCTCAAGCATCTGCTCTGGCTCCATGATGGACCCACCAGTCACGGTCTCAGATACCAGTCCATCCCAAGTCTTCCATTCTTAAGACCATTTGCCATGCCACCAACACTCAGAACAAACCGCTTCTACCTCATCATTGCTTTTCAGTCTGTGTATTCAGTGATTTGAGTAAGTCTTCTATAACAACCATCAGCCATGATTGGTATTCATACTGCACAAACTCCTTATCAATAAGTAAGCTGAATTTAGAAGAGGATACATTTCCTCCTTTCATTTTACCTAAGCTGATTTTGTGAAATTTGCAACTTACTGTGTGTGTGTATGTCTGTAAAAGTGGGAATGAGAGGGTGAAAATGAGTTTGGCATGGGAGATTATCTAAAGAGCCATAGAAATTGCCTCCTCTTTTTTTGATTTCTCAAGTTAGATTTTGATTCCTTATACCAAGTCTTAATAGAACTTTATTTGCAGCTATACTTGTAACTTGACTGGTAAGAAAAGGATATTCATGATTCTCAAATGATGTATCATTCATCAGTATACACCTTACCTTAAAATGAATCACGAATTACCCTGGGAACATCATATACCTTTCAAACTTCATAAAGATATTTTGTTAATATTCTCACAGTAGGAGTAAATGAGAGTTTTCCTCTTCAGTCCCTACTGATAGTTCAACACAGTGCCTGTGTAATACTTATGTATTACTTGTTCATTTCTCAGTGCTGTTTCCTTCCAACATCCCTGACACTCCACATTTTTTTTCTTTGAGGACTTAAGGATGTGGTATACAATTATCTTTTTCATTCAAAAAAAAAAAACCCCAACAAACCCTCTCATCGGATTGGAAAGAATCAGGCCAAATTCGGTCTCTCATTTCCATGAACTCTATCCTGATGACCTCCAAACTTTCCTTTACTGTATACTGAGACTGAGACCTGGTATTACCCAAATGACTTCTAAAAACTCATGCTTGCTTCTTTAAGTGAGTAGTTACAATATAGACTCATTCACCTCATGTTTCTTATTTCAGTAGAAGCCATCACTACCAAATAAACATGCAAACTGGAAGTCAAGGAGTCTTCTTTATTGCATTGTCTCATGAAGGCATGTGTATCTCTCTATCATCATGATAAAGGCCCTTGTTGGTAACTTTATTATGCTTGTGAGGAATACTATAGCAGTCTCCTTAGTGATTTTCATAGTTCCAGTTTTCTGTCACTCTTGTAAGTTATCCATACTATAGAAACAATAATATTTTGAGATGTACTTCAATCATGCCAATTTCAGCTTATTTCCTAATTTAATGTCTAAAATACATATATGCACACCCATACACATGTACATACAAGAATTCTTCTGACATGGAAAATAAAAATGGAGTTGACCATCCAAAGATATTTAGCATCATGTCTGTTATTGAGTGTAATCTTTAATGGGAAATCAGGTATCATATCATAAGGTACATAACATTTTTCAATGTTATAATCTTACCTTAGGTAAAGGTTTGGTAGGTTTGCAGTGCAGTCCTCCAACAAATTCAAAATTAGGTAGGTATGGACGAGGAAATTCAAAATCCCAGTATGTTCGAATTAGCCAAATTTCAGCTTTCCCCAGAGTCTCACATAATGTAGTGGGTCTTCCTGGAAAAAAAAAACATTTGTTTAAAGTTGGTTAGAAGGAATTAGACTAAAAGTTAAATGGAAAAATTGTACCACTAATTTGATGGTTAGCAATCAAGGGAAAAATAGGTTTAGGTCTTCTAAAATAATGCAACTTCTAGATCTGAAATGAAAAGGGGCATTAATATAATAACATGGAATAAAAGAAAGAGAAAACAGAAGTAATCACAAAAGAAAGTTAAAAAAAGGAAAAATGGGGTTATTTGTAAGTTTATTTTTTAAGATAAAATGAACCAAGCATTTGACTTCAACTCCAAAGTACTGCACAAAAAAATTTATTACTAATTTTTCTTTCCAATTGAATGGCAGATGATAGATTAAGCCCACAATATCTGCACTAAATCGCCTCTCAATAGTTTCTAGTCTTCCAGTCAAGAATATGTCCATGCCTCCTCCCTCTCCCACCCAACATATTTTAATGTCAGGAGTTCTCATATTATTATAGGATCCCATCAATATCCTATATCCTTATCCTTCTGAGTTATATTTCATCACTTCAATGGATGGGCCACTATTTTTTTTTTCAGCATCGCCATGTTTATTTATTAAGGGGTTCTGAGAAAACCATTCAAAGAACCTATGTGGATATCGTTTTCTCCCTTTTTTAACTTTCTGGCAAATAGGCTGATGACATCATTGCTGCCAGTCTGTAGCATGGAAGACACATTCTCCATAGGAACTTCACAGAGCTGATTCCAGTGCTGTGTTTCATGGTTCAGACAGTGAACAACAGCTTGTCAGATGAGAGCAGCACTCACAGCATGGCCTCTTCTGAGAGAAAGGGATGAGAGGCTATGGGATTCACAGGCTCTCTTTGCCCAGTTTCAATAGAAAGCTGTGAGTTCAGTCATACACACCAAGAAAATTGGAAACTCCCAGACTAATTGCTGCCATTCAAGGGAAAATACCTGCAAATAATCCTGACAGTCTTTGTGTCTGCTAGACCCCATGCAAGGTAGAGAGGACATTGCCACTAGCAGTGCTAGAACCTGCCTTTGCCAACATGATTCTTGTTTCTGCCATATCCAGAGGTGTGGTGACTGCGGCTGTGAATCTACCTGCAAAAGCTCCACAGACAGTTGACTGCCAAGAATCCACCACCTGATCCTGCCTCTAGGACAGGGGGATTTTAAGGACTCCTACAAGGGAAATTGGACCAATGATAAAGTAATCTCTCTCAAAACCATGCTTGCATAGCCTCGATACAGTCCTTGGATGCCTTCTTGATGTAAGATGTTAGATAAAATTTGAAATGTTCTTGAAGAAGCAGAAACCTGTGCCCTCTGCAACCACTTCTCCAGCAGAAGCAGCGAATGTGTGCTTCACAGGCATCAGATATGAAGATGGACCAGCATGCAAAAAACATTTCACATATTCATAGGTGATAATAAAGGCAGCTGTACCAGAGAGGCTATGAACCCAGGACAGTCCATAGTCCCCAGAACACCATTAGCCCTGTAACTCAAGGCTGAACAGAGGCAGGTTACAACCACATGCACCAGGTGCCGCCATCTTGGAGGTGGGCCTTAATGGGCCACTATTTTATTAGTAGGAACTCCCTGAGCAATTCATACTCAGTATGACCTTCTTTCTGGGATGTGTGGTACATAAGTACATACCAGGATTACTGCTCACTACTATAATTTACTGCTGCTTTACTAATGTGTTTTTCAAGGAGACGCATTGAAGGTGTTAATTTTAGGCTTTTATGCAGAAGAATGACTAATTACAAACAACCAAGTCAATAATTTCTGTTTACAAAAAATACATTTTTTGTAACTGAGAGAAAGGGAAGAAAACCGAGGTAAGAATATTTTTTACTTTAGGATTCTAATCAAAGTTTGTGGTAGCATACACCGAGGAAGGAAAGTCTCACTTTCGAGTCATCACTTTTTAATGTTGAAAATATTACCAGCTGTCATATAGTCCAATGGCTATAACTTGATAATAAAGAAACTTTGCCCGAAGACACACACTTTGAAATTGCCAGATTATGTTAGAATTCCAGTTCTTAGCTTCTGATTTAATGTTTATTTGCCCTCTAGATGCTTATTTTTTTGTGACTCAAATCCTGCATAATTACAAACCTTGAGGAGATAGTTTTATTAGTCATTCTCTTATTTCACTTAATCACTTTTCTCCCAAGGTGATTTAGTTTATATGACCTTAGCTTCATTTTAGAAAGACAGAACTTAAAGCAGTTAAAAGAATTTTACATTTAAAGTAATGATTCACAATAATGAGTAGAGATGGGATAAGAAGAGAATGAAAGTGAATTTAAGTATAAAATAAACTAAATAATTTTATAAATCATATTCAAAATGTTACATATGAGGAATTATGGAAATGAAACAGTAAAGTAAAATTGACAAATACCTCTTTTCTTTTAGTCATATAATTTGCATAAAATTGAGTTATATAATCAGAATGGATAATTCTAAATATACTGTATTATGTATAATATATATACACACATACATATATTTAATTAATGGGTTAAATTTTAGCTACCAAATAATTGTTATTATAATATGAACCCATTATGTTAAGCTACCCAATGAGTCAAGTGAGATGGTTTTTAACTTACAGACTCCTTAGGTGTTGCCTGAATGTATAGCCAGTTTAATTTTTGCTACATAGAAGTTGCTTTATTTCTCCTTTCTCCTTTGATAATGCTTCTGTCCTTTTTTTGTCAAGTTGAGATTTTTCAAAGGTCTTTACTCACAATCCAATTATACCAAAATGCAACAGTGACATGTTATAGTTTACAGTTACCACTGACGGTAGACTTGAGCCAAGATTCTTGTATTTTTTACTTAAATCTATAGAGCCTAGCATGTAGTGTGCTCCCAGGCATGAATTACTAATTATAATTAAGTATAATTGATTAATATGATTAATTAATTATAGCAGATCAGTACATTTAAGTTCAAATCATGTCTATATCAAAGGATCTTTGAAGTGGGTTTCTTTGAACATTAGTTCTGTGAAGCAATTAGATAATCAGTGACTTGAGTTAGATAATATATTTAGTGCAGATATGATCCTTTGTTCTTGTCTGTGCGGTTTAAAGACAGTTGAAGTAGAAGCCTATATAATTTGACTGATTCAGATCACAACTGTGTGTATGAAGTTGCAAATCAAAGCATTTTTAAGCAGAAAAGGCAAAAAATTAAAAATAGGTTTAATAGGTATATATCAGTGAAGTTAAAAAATCTTTTCTCTTTAACTGCTCGGGGTACAAAGTCCTTTTCAGTTTTCTAATTACTCTTTTAAGTTTTCGTGCAGCATTCTCCCAAGAAATATTTATAAACCATCCTAGGAATCTTTTTCATGACCAGCCACGACGAACCTGTCCAGATAAGACTTTTGGAAGCTTCACTTAAAGTTTGAGAGGGATAAGAATGGTGGTGAGCTGTTCTAGTAAAAATGGTATAAGAATGAGGGTAATCATCAACAATTATCAAAAATTTTTGTAGCTGATTCAGGTGAATTAAATAATCTCTTTGTTAATAATGATCATATTTTAGTTTATTACTGGTGTCAGGCAAGTAACATCTTACTCTTAAAATAAACATTGTCTTCTCTTTCCCAAGAATAGCTATAACTTCTTCTAATATGGAAACTCAGTGTACTGGACTTATATGTAATATCCGTATAGGGCAAACATGTCATCTTCTAGAGGTTTAACATTTTTTGGTGTATTTTGTATTGTTTTGGGCAGGAATCTAACAAGTATCAAGTAATCTTATGAGAAATGGTTTGGTGACTATAGAGACAGAGTAAACATGGCAAAAGATTCTTTGTTCCCATTTCTACTCAGGTTTTTTGATAACCAGTTGATTAGTGTCACTGGTAGAGTTTTAAGTGGAAGACATATTTTAAAGTGGATTCCTTTCCTCTACTTAGATTTCTAAATTTATTTTGATAACAACTTTAAAATAGAAAACAGAATCTCTTACCTAATGCCTCACTGTAAAACTGATCCCAAACATGAATGTCATAATCCCGGATCCAGAAGTCAAAGAAAACTGAAAGCACTGTGTTTTTAACTCTTTCCAGAAAGGTCATTCGGTCTGTTAGTGACACCATCTGAACAGGAACATAGGAAGGTGGAGCGGGAAGTTTCCCACAGTGCTTCTCCTTCATGCCTCCTACTGATGCTCTTAATGTGAGCACAAACGGGATCGCCAGTAATTCAGCAATCAGCTCTCCACAGGGCAACACAGGGTCTATAAGCATCACGTCGTAGTTGGTTTCCTGGAGCTTCTTCATGAATGTCTGATTATAGACTACACCCTCACAGAGGATTTTTAAAATTTCAGTTGTTTCAATAAAAAAATCCTTCAATTTTATCGTTGATTGCCAGGATGTTAAGTTTGGCAAGACATTAAGAATTAGGTACAGAAACTTGTCGTGTATATTATCCACTGATTCTTTCTGAACTTCTGAAGGCAATACCTCGAAGTTTAGTGGGGAAGTTTTCCTGTTATCAATGAGCTTAGTATGTGGAAAAGTTAACACTGTTACCTCATGTCCTTTCTCTGTGAGCTCCTCCAGAATGACCTCTATATTAAGCCAATGGCTCATGTCACAGGGCCACACCAGGACCTTCCCACAGAATCCACAGCCAGCACTACAGAGTTGCAGCAGCAAAATCGCCAAAGCCCACTTCTCGGATAACATGACAGCAGCTCCGTCACACACTGTTCTGCAGAGGTTTTAGGGTATTTCTGCTGCGTGCAGAGACCAAATGGGAAGTAAGACACATAACAAGTTAAAAATTAACTTAAAAAGGAAAGCGTTCATTCATAATATGCAAGGTTAATGTTTATTGAGGTAATAAAACAGAAATAAAAAGTATCAGAGAAAAACTTTTAACTTCTAGAACTTAAAAATTAAATACATTAGAGATACGTTTATTTTCTAGATTGGCAATAAGGAAAATAAGAACAACAAAAAGAAAACCCTAAAATAAATATTTCATACAAAGAAACACACACACCCATGCACCCCAACATCCATTCCGCTGTGTTTGCAGATGCCAAGTGGTTTAGGTGAAAACATATTGCACATCTTCTTCTCTATGTGAAACAGCAAATAATTTGTTTGGATACACATGGGAAATACTTCGATAACAGTAATATGACTAGTACAGGGTGTTTAGAATTCCAGAACAAAAAAACACAGTCCTCCATGGAATAATTAGACATAGCTTTAGTAAGGTAGATAATATATAAGGTGAGATGAAAGACTTGGTAGGCAGAGTGTGGCAAAAGGACAGATTTCACAACGAATACAGGAAAAAGAAAAATTCATGGATATTTGAAAAGCATTCTGGTGGGAATGGATCATAGATAAAGTTGTGGCAGTAGGTTATAGAAGAAAGTTAAATTGCAATAGGAGATAATAGGTACTGTTGAATGGTTTGGATTTTAATTTAAATAAGTATTATTATCATATGAATCCATTATTTTAAAGAAGGGCAATTGAAAGGTCAAATTTTTTCTTTAGCAAACAATCCTGGCAGCTAAACATAGAATGGCATATTAAGGCAAAAGGTTAAAAGAAGGGTGATTGATTAAAAACATATATTTAGTGACTTAAACATGAGACCCTTATAGCCTGAAACATGGATTGAAAATATCAAATGTCTCTCCTCAGGTGTCTTTAGCCCACTCTGCCCCCGCCTTTGCCTGAGATCAGGCTAAGTGGCTGCAAATAAAAATTTATGTATTGGCCCTTTAAACATTTCTTTGTGTCTCCAGCCTCCTGTCTCTGGCAGAGAGCAACCCTGCCGCTTTTTGCAGCTGGCTGTTTTCTGTGTACTTTTTGGGCTCTGGTGCTGTGGGCCACTTTTGGTTTAGACCCTGCTCTTCTCAGAGGAATCCAACTGGCTGTTTCAATATATCCTTCTGGGGCTGCTGCCTGTGGGTGCCCCCTCCTGCCTTCTCCAGTCTGTACCACACTCTTTACCTGTTAGATTGTGCTAAAGCCGATTCTTCTGTCTCCAAGGTTACAAGGCTCCTCTCTAGCTATTGCTCAGTTGTTTGTTTCAGGTGATTTCTCCACAATTAAGTTGTAATCCCCGGTTTGTCCTGGGATTCTATGAATACCCAGTTCCTTTCAGAGTTGCCAATACTTGATATTACCAATATTTTTAATACTCATTAATCTGATTGTGACAATGATGTTATTTTAATTGTTCCTTTACTATTTGTTAAAACTAAACCTGTATTTGTATATTTCTTACCTATTTCTATTATTTTTAAAAAAGCTTTATATGACTTTTTGATATTCTTTATCCATTTATTGATTAAACATTTGTAGAACTTTCTTCCCCCCATCAAAAAAAAAAAAAAAGAAAAAGAAAAACCACCTATTAACCATGTTTCAGATGTGTGGCAAATACTTTCCCATTCTATTCCTTGTTCTTTTAATTTTTTTATATGTATATTACTATATAGTCTTAAATGTTTAATATAGTCATATTGTCAACATTTACTTTATAGTTTCTGGGTTTGAATATTTTACTTCAGGTCATGACAAATATTAGTTCTATTTTCTTCTAAAACTCCTTAGATTCTACATATTAAGTTTTAACTCACTTGAATATTTCTTGCATAATGTGTGAAATAGGGTTCTGTATTTGTTGTATTTCAAGTAATAGTCGTCCATGCACCTTGTTTGTTGAATAAGCCTTATTTTACCCATTGATTTGAAATATCAACTTAATCGTATATTATATTGTTAGATATATATGTTTGTCTCTAGAATGCTCATTATATTACACTGATCTACTTGATTATTTCTGTTCTGGTGTCATGTTGGTTTAATTGCTGAGACTTTATAATGGTTTTAAAATTTTTAATGTTTTATAATTGACTTTGACATTTAAAAAATAAAATCAATCTGCATTTAAGAAAGAGAAAGAAAGAAAGAAAAGAAAGAAAGAAAGAAAGAAAGAAAGAAAGAAAGAAAGAAAGAAAGAAAGAAAGAAAGAAAGAAAGAAAGAGATGAACTCCTACCTTTTGCGACAACATGGATGGAACTGGATAATATTAAGCTAAGTTAAATAAGCCAGTTGATGAAAGACAAATACCATATGATCTCACCTAGAAGTGGACTCTATTCAACAAAATAAATTAATGGACAAAATAAATCACAGGCACGGAAATGTGGAACAGACTGAAAATGACCAGAGGGGATGGGGAAAGAGGATAATGGTGGAAAGAAGGGGAAGGGACTAGACCAAGAACATGTATGAATGACCCATGGACATGGACAACAGAGTGGAAATTGACTGTGGGAGCTGGGGCTGGGGGTGGGATGGATGGAGGGAAGTAAAGGGGTAAAAACTGAGACAACTGTAATAGAATAAACATGATTTACAAATAAAATAAATTAATCCTCTCAAAAAAAAGAAAATAGTAAATGTGACAAATATAGTTGAAATTTGTAATTAGTGATTAGATCTGAGTCTGAAAACAATGTATAAGAGCAAAGACATATGCTTTTGTGCAAAGATGTAAAGAATATGATTGCTGCCCAAAAGACCAAAATGCTGATGACATCATTAGATAAAAGATACATAAGATTAGCAGAAGGTTTAGGAATCAATATGATCTATCACAGAGGTCTCCAATATCTGGGAACTGGACCGTACAGTAGAAGATGAATAACAGGTGAGAAAAGTTTCATCTGTATTTGCAGCCACTCTCTATCCTTTGCATTACTGCCTGAACTCTGTCTCCTGTCAAATCAGAGGTGGCATTAGGTTCTCAGAGGAGCACAAGCCATACTGTGAACTGTGAGTGTGAGGAATCTAGTTTGCAGGCTCCTTTTGAGAATCTAATGCCTGATGACATTAGGTAGAGCTGAGGCAGTGATGCTAGTGGGGAGTGACTGCAAATACAGATTATCATTAGCAGTGAGTTTTGACTGCACAGAGACCATAATAAATCAGTTGCTTGCAGACGCATATCAAAGCCCTATTAGTGAGTGGCAAGTTACAAGCTGCATCAGGTGTCAGATTTTATAGTGGCAAATGAGTTGATGTATTTCAATTGTTCAGCTACATCTGGCTTTAAGTCAGAATCCGACACTTATTTTAGTCCACAGATAGTCCACCCACTATTTTCTTTACTACTTTTCATCCATGCCTCCTTTCCACACCGCGCACTTGTGTCAGTCAGTTTTGGTAAAGCTCACATGCTAACATATCATGAGGTGAGTTGTATAATTATTTCATTATATATTACAACGTAATAATAATAATATAAATAAAGAGTGTAATAAATATAATGAGTTTGAATTACCCTGAAATCTTCCCCTGCCCTGTCCATGAGAAACTTGTCTTCCACGAAACTAGTTCCTGATGCCAAAAAGTTTCGGGACTGTTGATCTATCACTTTTTTTTTTGAAGTGACATGGTTTAGTAAGACAACCTCATGGAAATATTTATATGCCCCTTGGATATTTAGATTTAGGCAGATGATAATGTTTCAAGATATGAAGTGAGTAATCTTTCATCCATCTACTCATTTGTCTATCCCGCTACATTAATAATATATATACATCAATGTAATTTCTTTTACATTAACACACTCAATAAATAATTTGTACCTCCCACATTATCCAAGTTTTTTCAGAAGAGCTGTAATTCATCATGGGTATGCACACTGCATGAATTTATATTAATAGATGAATTCTGGGGAAGAGAAAAATTTTTTTCATCGTGCATCACTTACGTGAGATGACTTTGTAAGAATTGTGGTTCATTGTGTGGTTTGTGTGTGTGCATGTGTGAAAGTGAGAGTAGAAGAATAAATATGATATTACAGACTGGGAGATTATTTAGAGAGTCAAGAAAAAATGTCATATCTAATTCTGTATGTCTAATAAATATTGATTCATTATATCCTATAACATCTCTCAGTAGAGGCTGAATAGCACATATAACTTGACTGAAATAAAAAGGATATTTAGTATCTTAAATAAAATTTCAAACATCAATACTCATTTTTACTATAAAAAGAAATCAAGTGCTCCTCTAGAAACACTTTACCTCGCAACATTCTTAGAAGAGATTTTGCTCATATTCCTATAACCCAAATAAAAGATAGTCTTTTCCTCAGTCCTTATTGATTGCTGAGTATAATATTATTACAGTATTTATCTATAACTGTCTTTTCTTCTACTATTGTTTCCTTCCAAAATCCATTACACTTCACATTTCTTTGAAGACTTAGAACGTGTTATGCAATTATCTTTATTACTTAAAAAGTAATTGGCCATTATGCTGGTAAAGAATTAACCCAATGTTTGGGTCTTTCATTTCCATGGTCTCCTTTACGCTGTTGATCCTTAATCTATTTCTTTTGCTGTTTGCTGAGATTGAGACCTTGTATAACCCAAATCACTTCTTTCTTAAAATAATATTTTTTATTCTTCAGTTACAGTTAACATACAATATATTAGTTTCAGATTTACAATAGAGTGATTAAACATTTATAGAACTTACAGAATGATCACCCTGATAATTATAGTACCCATCTGACACCATACATAGTTATTAAAATATGATTGACTATATTTCAAGTGACTTCTAAAACTTTCCACCTAAATATTACTTTGAATTTCTTGAAATAAATAAATCTGAAAAATAACACATTCATCTTACAGAAGTTGTCCCTCTAAATTGTTTCCTATTTAAGTCA